AATTTGGTAGTGATGATACAGAAAACAAAAAGGTAATAGAGTGACTAGATAGTTTAGATCATTTTCCATATCACTACCACTGTCTTTTTAAGTTTTACTTCTTCTTTACTTGTTGAATGCCTGTTATGTTTCAATTCCACTATTCTTTTAATGTTGTTTTGTTTCGTTCATAATAGGAGTTCATGCTTCACTAAGTATATCATGTTTGTTAATTAGTTGATGGATTTTTGAATAAATTTCTTCTTTAATTCTTCTTTTTCTATAATCTTTTTCTTTTTCTGTAATTCATGGATCGAACTGGAGCATGTGTGAAACTGCTTGCTCATATGTGTTCAATGCCTGTTCAACTCAATGAGCTTCGAGTAAATCGATTCGAATGGTTGTTGCATATATGGTTCAATATGTAAACGTGTCTTAACTTGGTGGTCTTACTTTTAAATTCTAAAATACACTTGTATTTATCATAACTAATTTGAGCAAATATATTACTGATAATGTCATCAATGTGACATAGTTGTATCTAGTAAGGAACGTATATTATTTGTATTTTATACTAAATAATGAAATAATGTATATCTTTATGGAATAGAAAATAAATAGAGCAAACACTTTTGATAATATCATTCCTTCTGTTATATGAATTTATTAGAGTGTGGACATCACATGTATCCATACATGTAAAACTCGAAAATTTGTTTCGAAGTGTCAAATTTTTAACTTACCATGTTTTTAGGCCTTCATCTATTCGTATGCCAATGTGACATATATGAATAATTCAGGCGAAGGATTAATCTTCTTTATAGATTTATATGCATCACAGTAAATGTTTAGCTTGCAAGTTTTGAAAATTCCCAACTATTATTTTATTAATCATGCTATTAATTTCAACAAGACAAAACAATATCAATATTTTTCATTTTTCTATTTTACTTATCGACTTCGAATCGTAAAAATAGGAAATCGCTGAAGATGGCCATTGAGATTCAGAAGATGGAGGAGTGGTGATGAAGATTTTTTGATCAGCATCCATAAGGTGAGATTGATGATGAAGATCTTTGGATCCAATACCAGCTCTTTTCATATCAGCGATATACCTCTAAACTTAATTTAAAATTAAGTTTTGAGTGACGACGTAAACATTAATATAAACAGAAAAAACAAACAACAAACACCACATAATTCATCAATACTAAGTATTCAGTGATTTGGTAATACTTAATATAAACGAATTAAGTGATGTTCGTACTGTTTATTTTTATTTTTTTGTCAATATATACGATGAAGAAACTTATAACTGTTTCAAGTCTCATTAAAATAAATGATCCATCTCTAATTGTTGTTATTGTTGAACTAGATTTTGTTGAACCTGTTGTTGAGTCTTGCTACACTCTTATAAGTAGCTTTTTATACAAGCAGGACTTGTTTGAATATTACGAATTAAACAATATTCTTTAAAGTGTACACTTTTACTATTACAAATAATATTACTACTAATAAATGTATAAAGAGAAGAAATATTTAATCTACTCCTTCAAACAAGTCTACAAAGTTTGTTGTGATCATTTTTGATTAGATTGTGAAATCCATGTGAAAGTGACTTCGGCAACTAAATCATCAAGTGGCAAAGACAAATCGCCAATTTTCATCTTTTATTAGTATTGGTACAACAATGTTAGTAATTTTTGAAATATTTGAATCACATTAATTCTCCACATGTAAATCAAAATTCATTGAAATATTTTTCTTTTCATTAAAAACCATTCAGTCTGAACACTGAGATCACAAGAAATTCAATAAAATAAATGCAATTAGCTTAAATAAGCGATTAATCACTAGTTCATAGAAAAGCAACGATCAAAATGTAATTTAGAAAAAAAACCTTTTCTTTATTGTTTTTATAATTAGCCTTCTGTTTCATTCGCAGAATATTGATAATTACGTGCATTTATGCACGTACGAAAATTTGCATTATATAGAACATCACTGACACATCATATGATAATAACTATTATGTATTTTCAAGAAAGAAAAAAATATTTATCTTTATTAAAATCCAATATTTCTTTTCTATCCTTCATTATAATTCATATGTTGTCTGTCATTCATTTCTCACATAGACACCAACATGCTTGACATTAATTGAGATATAAGAATAGATTTCTTGATGAATATATTTGGTAAGAATACATGGAACAAGAAAATACATTACCTAATTGAATTTCTATTAGAACATTCAAAGAAAGACAAATTATAACTTATTCTTTCATATAAAACATATATTCTTACTTTCAGCATGTAAATGATTGATTATTCTTTCGTCTATATCTGGAATCATAGGGTTCACTAATTCCTATTCTTCCTATAAAATGTATTATTCATCGCCTTCCATGAAAGAACAAAGATGATATGAGTAGACAAGGCAAAAACTTTCTTTCTTTATTGTTTTTTTGTCTCTTCTCTGCACAAAAAATCAATTATCCAGATGTAATTCTATCTTTGCTACTTTTTGTCATTTGCATATTATTGAGAAACAAGAATGAGACAGAATGGATATAGATTAAATATTCTAGAAATGAGATGATATGCATTTTAGTATTTCTTGTCACAAGAAAACGATGATTTATTTTAGATATCTTAGTCTTTTGTTTTTCTTTCGTATTTAATCAATAAGAAAATATTGTATGAATACTTGATAGATACATTGATATGATTTGATTATCAAATCAAACAAAGCAATTTAATTGTATGCTTGACAACAATCATACATATGGATTTGCTCAAGTAAGTTTTGCGATAAAACCAAAATTATTCGTTTGGTATTCTGTTATTTTTATTCAACTATTTTATGATAACGAAGAAACTATCCCAACTGACACCCGCCCTTTCAGCTCGTATTGTGCCCACAATGAGGTATTAATGAGACTAACAAAAGATTAAAACGGTTCATATCCATACACCGTTGGCGTTGAATTATGATTGTTTTGCTGAATTTTCGATTCACTTTTAGGTATTCAACGAAAAATCAAAAAACAGAATTTCGACCAAAAATTTTGTCTAGACATAAGTCTAAAGGATTCTTAAAATATTCTGAAACTTTCAACCGAAAAGAATATTCCTTTGTCGATATATTGAATTTTCAAAATATAGCCGCTTCCTACAGACATACCACAAAAATCGAGTTCATTTGAAAATTCAATATTTTGACAAAGAAATATTCTTTTTGGTTGAAAGTTTTAGCAGATTCTAAGAATCATTTAAACCTATCTATAGGCAAAACTATAGGTCGAAATTCTATTTCATGATTTTTCGGTGAATACTTAAAACTGAATTGACAATTCAGTAAAACAGTCATTACTCACTGTTAAAACTCCATGGAGACAAATCCTTTTAAGTTTTTATTAGTCACAACGATATCTCCTTGCAGGCTCAATATGAACTGAAACGATGGGTGTCAGTTTGGAGTGGTTCTCCTGTTAGAACTGAATTGAAAAGATTATCATACCAAGGATCGGATAATTCTTAAATGAAAAATCTTCATTTTATTAAGCTTTTTCAATATTTTTCATAACGAGAATAGATTTTTAGAGAATAAAATAATCTTGTTGTTGACAGATAACACTTCTTCTCTATTGATATAAACATGTCAAACAGAATATATTGTTATGACAGTTCTTAGATCTCCTTCTCTTTCAAGGTGATTAACAGACGCAAATATTCCAATCTTTTCACCTCCACAATATCGTTATCGGACAGATAAGACATGAAAAATGCGTTTTATATATTGAATACATAAAAAATAGATTAAGACCTTGTACTTGATCAGTTCGACACATGATAATATTATATATGATTGAAAGGTTGATAAAATCGTTTGTTATTTATTTGTCTATGTGTATAGAAGAGCTTAGCACTTACACGAATGACGAGGCCACAAAATCATTCTCTACGAGTAAAAAGAAACAGAACGAAAGAAGTGATCTTCAAAGGTGTCCGTTCATTGAAAAAGAATGTATTTGATAAATGACCTATGATTATTTAAATGTCTTGTCGTTTAGTAGCGGAGAAAAAAAGGTATATGCTCGTCTGATATCATCGTCATATTGGTAAGATAGATTCACTCATCTCCTCATATATGCATATACATATGTTAAAGCAATGAGCAAAACGACATGGCTACATCATACGATGTAACATTTTATCTATATGATAGTATCATCCAAATAGTTCATGTGAAGTGTAGTATATATTTGAACCTTTGAAAAAAGAAACAGAAGTTATACTACTCATTTTTTTTTATGATGCTTATAGGAGATTAGATCTATATTTCGTGGAGAAAGAATGCGGTGGAAAAGGTATGTATTTGGTTAGTAGAATTTCAATGTTCAAGTCAGTAGAATTAGCAAGAGAATTATTTTCAATTAGAAAATGATGTCACGCATAAATGTAGACTTTTCTCATACGATTCTCACAAAAAAAATTGTTTTCATGTGTCTCAGGAACTATGAATTCATATTGTTACTGAAATAGATTTGGCTCATAAATAATTTTTATAATTCTTAAAATATTCAGACAAAGCAAAAGTTTCTTCATTTAGGTGTTTACAAAAAAGTCAATTCTTGAAAATTTCTTGATTATTTAATACCTAAAGAAAGAACAATTACAATGATAATATCAATTGTGTACGAATCCTTTAATCTTATCGAGATTTATTTTCAATTATTAATACGAAATCGTAATATTCAACATAATCGAGATAGTTTTCTCATTTTGTACCTATATGAAAGTGAAAACCTTTTGCATGGATAAGAAATTACCTACTAATGACATCTATCAAATAATCACTTTATTAGATTTTGTAACGTTGATTTTAATAGTAAAAATTGAAGTTTTTTCTATGATTATAAATGATTCGTCGAATTATTTCTCCGATGAAAATCTAACAAACGAATGAATAAACGAAAAGAATTTTTCATATTTGGTATCTATTTAGATCTTTGCGAATGTCAACGAAGAATCGGACCTATAATCCTATTCGTGAGGATGGGTACGATAATAAAGTTTTGCTGCATAATGATGAAGAATTTCAACATGGAATTCAATTTAAAGTTAAAGTAATTAATATTAAAAATCTATTTCTTCAAAGAAATGTTGTTATATTTTCTATTTAGTTTATTGGATCACTTGAAGTACCGAAACCAACAAGTCGTGGTGAAATTGTAGCTAATATGCGTCGTATTCGTGTAAGTTCATAATTAAATTAAAATTCACTATTAAAAATAGTGCTTAATTTAGTATGAATTCAAAGCAAGATCAGTTAAAAAACGTTCTGTTAATTTATCAATATCTATTGATGGAATTCAAGCTTTCTTATCAAAAAAGAATAAAGTAATCTAAATTAAAAATATTTTCAAAAAAAAAGTTTCACTGCTTTATTTTCTTAGAAAAATCTTTATTTCGATGAAGATAAAACTATGTTAATACAACATCCAATTAATCGGTAGAAAAATAAACGATTTAAAATATATTCATCATTGTTTCTTTTTGCATTCTAGTGTGTTTTATGTCTCACATGACAGTCAAGATTTAAAAATTTTTAGTTTTATAGCACGTGATAATACTACTAATGCATTTCGTTGTAATGTCTTTAAAGCATATAAGACGGTAAATACTTTCTTTTGTGAATTATTAAATGGAATGAAAAACAAAATTCTATTAATTGTACTCATTAAACAATGAGCTTATCATTAGAAATCATCTGATTAAAAGATTCTGAAATATTTAAATTAAACAAAATAGACTTTGTTTATGAAAACTAAAATAAGAAATGCTTAGAATTCTTTCATAGTTTAATTCTATCAACATTAAATAACACAAATGTTTTTGGTTACATAGAACAAAAAAAATTTCAATGCATGAATCAACCTTGACAAGCTAGAAATTGCTTTTCAGATAAATTTTACATCATTGAATAGATCCTGTTGAGAATAGAGAAAATCTAAAAGAATTCATATCTATCCGATCTTGTTTCTTTCATATGTGATGAGTTTTTCAATAGAATACTATGTTTCGTTGTAGATCATTTTCAAAATCGATCTTCAAATTCAAAAGAGTGAATCAATAAAATTTTCACTAGGGCAAGATCATTATGAAAATGTTAGACTTTCAAATACCTACTATCTTGATAAATAAATATAAGAACAAAATGCTCTTTTTTTCTAATAGTAGAATTTTCCATGTTATTATCTAAGAATAGAAGGTATTAGAATATCTAATAGGCTTTACAATGAACTAGTCTCATTGAGAATTTTATTTATACAAAATTTGAACTTGAAAGTTGCAGTATTTTATTAGAAAACTCACTAAAATGGTCATAATTTAAGAAGAAAGGCTCATGGATACGAATCCTTGTAGGCTTTCTCGAATCTCAAGAGCGATTATTTAATTAGGTAACATTTATCACAAAAGCGTTTTATAACTTGACGATCGTCCTATATTTATCTAATAGATAATCAAGGTGATATCGAAATCAAATGTTTCAAGCTACCTTGACTTTTGTGTAAAATAAAACATCGGAAGTTTCTCAAACAATGTCGACAAATGTTCGTTTTGTGTTATTTCGATCCATTGCAGTGCTTTTATAGGTTTTCGTTTCTAGAAAAATCTATCGAATCTTCAGACTAGGCGACGCTTCCATTGTATCTACAGCTATCCTTTATACAAAAAATGATTAATAATAATTTATTAAATAAGAAGAAATAAATTATAAGCAAAATTAAAGTTTATTTTTATAATAAATATAATATCAATAAACGATCTTTTATCATTCAATCGATGTTTTCGCTTCGTTAATATACCTAACCTGATAAAAGGACTGAGAAAATCAATTTGTTACATGTAGACGGAAAATTTTTAATCGAAAACCACATATTCTGAATTATTCTTAGTCTGACATACAATACTCCTGATTATTATTTTTGATTAAAATTCTTATTTAATCATTTTTCTTTTTAGAATGAAGCGATTCATATTGTTCGTACAATTGGTCAAGCTTTTGAAGTTTGTCATAAGTTATCTTTACAACAAACATCAAACAATTCTTTGACATCTAGTCCAGCTAATACAAATTTTTCTCAACAAGAAAATAGTTTGTTTATAGAAAAACTTTTATTTTAAAATATTTTTTATTTTTATTTAGAAACTCTTGTACCAAGTATGGATTCAGTGGAAAAAGCTGAACGTTATTTACAAAGTGTTCAAATTCCAATTGTAATTAATGAATTTTCTTTTAAAAAGAAAAATAATTATTTATTCTTATTATTATTTTAGTCGTCAGTAAATAATGAAAGAAATGTACTTCAGTCTTACTCATCAAGTGAATTTACACTTAAACATCAAATGCAATTTATGCAAGAACAATTACAACAAATGCAACATGAATCAGAATTAGCATTTAATCAAATTAAATTAATCAAAGAACAATTAAATATTGAAATTGCAGCAAGAATCGATTCACAAGTACGTTTCAGATTTCCTTAAGAAGATTTCTTATTAAATAAATTATTGTATTTTTTTTTTAGAATAAAAATAAACAATTAATTGAACGAAATCGAGAATTATTAACACATATTCAACAATTATTAAATTACACTAGTGAACTTGAAATGAAGCTAAATAAAAATGAAAATTTGAAGACGTTAAAGGTATTATTTAATCTCTAGTATAAAATAAACAAACTATCATGTCAAACATGATGACAATGTTTTTATTGTAAACAAAAGCTTTTCAACAACTTATCTTTCGATTTGTAAAGATAACGAGAGATTGATTGTCGTATGTCAACTTATTTGCAGAAAAGGTTGAATGACATATCATTTAAGTTCTATGCTATTCTTTCACAGACTGTGACCAATAACAGAAAGCAATCATAATCAAAAAATGTTTTTTTTTGCAGCACAATAGAGGCTATATCGGTTTTTGTTTTTCTGACTAAACGTCAAAATTAATTATTATTTAAATAGAGAGAATTTTTAGAAAAACGCTTTATCTAAAAATCTGTTCGCTTAGATAAAGATTTGAAATTTTGATCATAAACTTTAATTTGTTTTGTTGCTTGAGTATCAATTTTAATTTATTGAATTATTTAAACTTTTCATTCATACATATAAAGTTTTCTTAGTTTAAATATAAAAGATAATTGAAGTCAGTAATTGCTATGAATCATTCAATTCAGTTTAGGATTTAACCAAGTTGACTACAAGTTATTTTCTAAATAGAGAAATAGTTATGAAAATCAAATCTGAAAGATAGATTTTCATGACTCGTTTACATTAAGTAATTTTAATAAAACTGAAATTTTTGTTCTTTCGAGAAAAAGAAGTTTAATGAAATAGTAAAACTTAGAAAATATTCGACTTTCAAATTTCTTTTTACAGGCTTCAATAAGACAACAATGAATCAATTATTTTCTCATACAATTAACCAAATTTTGTTTTTTAGGGTCTTCCATCACGTCCAACTGATTTACTTCTTCTTCCATCATTATTTTCAACTTTAACCGCTTCTGTTTCTACAAGTGGCACATCAAATCAACAAGATTTGTCAAGTGATTCACCTGATTCTGGTAAAGGACAAGAAATGTCCTCAGAAAATATCTCTGATACGTTGTTATCAAGTATTCACGATCAACAAATAACTAATTCATGGAATAATAAGAAGAATAAGAAGAAAAATAATAATAATCCCAATTGTACATCAATACTTGATGATATAACAAGTCAATCAATTTCAATCAATGAAACCGTAAAAAATAAAAAAAATAAATTTTATTTTTCCATTATCGAATGATTTTATTTTAGATTTCAAAAAATAAAAATAATTCTCATTATGAAGAATATTCTTCAACATCATCTTGTTCTTCAATAAAAGCATCGAATAAAAATCATATTGAACATTATATTTATGATCATATACTTCCATCAGGAACATCATCATTTACAAATTCAGCTTTTACAGGAAGCCCATTAAATACAATAAATAATTAATTAAACTTCAAAAGAGAGAGTTTAGATAATTGTCTTTCATTGTCATCTTTGATTTTCTACTCGGTGTGTGTGTGTGTATGGATCAATACGCACAAATGGTATTCTATGTGTAATAGAGCTTTGGTTCTCTCTCTTTTGTATTATGATGTCAGATATGTTATTCTGTTTTCAAAAGAACGTTTCGCTTATAATTTTAGAAATAAAATAATAAAATCTTAATTAAAAATTTCTATTAAAACTGAGATGTAAAAGATTCTTATCAATCTTTCTTAAGTATACATTTATCGTAGTTTCATCAACATTAGATAAATGATTAATATCATGTAATAATAAATATGGCTTGCAACTGATTTTATGTATCTTAAATTCACTATTCATGATGACTAATGAGTTTCAATTTTCTATTGATTCAAAATATCACTAAATTGAAGATAGAGGAGAAAACTTAAATACTAGGTGCATGAAATCACTGTCCGATTCATGTATATACGTCTTTTTTTCTCAAAAGAAAATGACTCATCGTAGAACGATAAAACGAAATTTCCAACAAAATAAATCATTCCGACGTGTGTACATAGTCGTTGGTAAAGTTACACAATAAGAAGTATTACTTTCGAAACAATATTCTCTTTTTCATATTAATCATCGATGACTAATAATCTGATAATTCCCAACTTGTGTCTCTTACAATAAAGAATGTAAAATATAATTAAATTTTGAGAAACAAAAAGATAAATGTGGAATAAATCTCCACTCGAGGAATGTCCTACTCGAAGATAAAGCAGTCGTATGACCTAAGTTTGCTTCAGACTCAAACAGAGCAGACTCGCAATCGTGGCTTGTTCCATTTTAATTCACTATGGCACATTCACTTCTTCTGTTTGTCGATAGTGATGATGCAATTCTGTTCTCTTTTTTTTATTCCTCTCATTCTAAAGGTAAACGAAACGTCATTTTTACTGCCTATGTTGCAATAGAAAAGGAAACTAACCAACTTGTCATTCACGAATTCCTGCATTTTTTTTGTTGCATTAAGGATATGTAATTCATCTAATTATATATAAACGGATCGTAGACATTGTAGTAATTACATATTTTTATTATATGATGTCTGCAAAACAAAGAAATACACAACACTCTGTTCGATCCAATTGGTCAAAAGTCTGTTATCAATGTCAGAATGAAGGACATATAGCTGCTGAATGTACTCAGCAGGTTTTATCCGAATGGCGTCTAGCAGAATTATTACAAGAACAAAAAACGTTAGTATTATTGTATATATATATAGACATTTAATAATTAATCTGTCTTTTATTTAGTAATTTCGAAACTTTAATCAATGAATTTCAAAATAAATGGAATAGAAATTTATTAACATTACAAACTGCTCCGAAAACAAATGCTGAACAATTATTACCTGTCATAAATGACTTCACTACTGTTTGTAATCAACTTAAAGAACAAAATTTTCAAATGCAAAACCAGTTGAATACTATCACAAATCGCATACAAAAAACTGCAAACGAAACTGTATAATTACTAAAAACATGAATTACACTCAAGAAACTGTATCATTTTTAAAAAACCTTGCCAAAATATAATAGATTACAATTTTTTCTAATTAAGATAATAAATACTGTCTAATATTATATTGATTAGATCACGAAAACAAGTGATCAGTGAGAATCTTTAATCAGAATGATGCTATGCCTCTGTGATTATTTTGTTTTACTTGAAGGAGTATTTTATAAATAAAGAATATTGATACAATATGATATGAACATTTATTTGGTTTCCACTAACAAGCCTAAATATTGACAACATTTTTCACATTGAAGATCACATGATATCTATTGACATATGATGATCTGTATGATGCATGATAATTATGAGCATACTACTGTGAATCATATAGGACCCTATTTAATATAAAATACTTATATATTTTCTGTTTTATATTAACATGTAATACAATGTGAGGAATGTTTGATTTATGTGTTTTATTGATAAGAAGATTTAGAAAATTTATAGTCAGACCAAATCGAATGTATTTCTATAATGTTGATTAATTGAAGATATATATTGTATTTATTTCTGTTTAAGTAGCGCAGTGGACAATCAAGCGAACATAAATGAAAATTGCCTTTCTCTTATATAAAATATTTGAGTGAATAGACCTGTGACTAATATCTCTTTCGATAACATATCATTCTTAGATATCAGTTTCCTTGATACGAAAATCCATGTTCAAGAGTCATACTCATCAATACATGTTTACATAGGAACCGCTTCTGTACCTAGTTGAGCGAAATGATTTTAAAAGAAAAAAACTTCCTGAAACGAATTATTCATCGATAGGCTTCGTCATGTGAAACGTACATTTCGATTGAACAAGAAATGAGAAAGAAAGAAATTAACTATCAGACCCAAATTCACTACAGTGGAGTGTAGATGAAGAGAAGACCTAACGGATGGACCGAAAGTTTTGAGACAAAATGTTTGTCTATTTGTCACCACCTCAAAAGTATTCTAGATAAATGGAAAAAGGTAGATAAGAATCAAAATTTAATACTCTTTCCGAATATGAGTTCAGAAATTCTGTGCCTATTTTTATAAGGGAGAAGCAAGCAAATCTTTGAAAGGCATAAAAAAATTGTCTGGATAAAATGGTTGAGTCGAAGCTTCTGAGCAATGTTTACTTTATTTTTGGTCTATATAAAAGTATTGTAGACGAATGAAAACTACAGGCTATGATCCGAATTTTCTGCTCTTTCTGAATATGGACTCAAATTTTTTTTATTTGTTTTTGTACGAGAATAGTGAGACAATCTTTGAACATGCCAGAAAATTGGATTGGTTAATGAACACATCGGCATTTGCTTCTCCCGTGAGTCCTGTGTGAAGATGCTAAAGACGGTTGAATATGTTAGTTTTATAGAGCAGACAGTCCTCTACAAAATGTGATATCGAATTCCAATATAGCTTTTATACAAGTAAAACTATAAGCATTTTCTGAGAAGCTATCTCTACCTGAGATGGATTCTGGTTAACAAGTCAATTTTTCAAAAACGAAGGTAATTGGAAAACAAAAATTTAGATGCCTTGTAATAAAATAAAAGAAACTAAAATAGCGCATTTTGTAGGGCAGAATTTGCTCTACAACCTGATATATGAACCAAAGTTACAAAATTGAGTTTCGAATTGAAACAGTGAAAAATACAAAAATGTACAAAAACTATTTTTGTCCAAACTATATTTTAAAGCAATTCAATGATTCACTCACTATTTCCAAACAAAAATAGATACAGAATTTCTGAACTCATATTTGGAAAGAGTATTACATTCTGATCCTTATCCATCTTTTCGCCTTCATCTAGAATACTTGCGAGGTGATGAAAAATGGACAAACATTTTGCCTCAAAACTTTCGATTCACCCGTTACATTCACATTCTCAGTTGTCTTCAAGTAGCAATCTAAGAGATATACTGAAATTGCACGAATTCACCAGTAATGATTTGACCCTTCGAGCTTTGGGGAGGGGGAGGCAGATGTAATAAGTTTTCGGCTGAGATAATGTATGTTTAAGAAAACAATAGTTTTCTAATTATTTGTCCTCTGGTTTTTCTACATAAGCAATACTGTTCAATAAATATTATTGCGTAAAAGAAGCATATATTAAAAAGAAGAGAGACTCACACAAAGGTAAAACAATAGGAAAATGGATCAGTAAAAGACGAATATACGGATGTTCCGAGATAATCAAGATTGACAGACAGATCCATATTTTTTCAACACATTTAGTGTAATCTTCTTTGGCTAACTATGTGGCAACAAATTTTCTCGGCTCAGGAGCATCTTAAAAAAATGAAAACAAACTCGATTTTATCTTCCTTCTTTTTGAGGAAGAAAACTGTCTTCGTACGGAAATCCAAAAAGTTTCTAAATACTTCTAACACCAAAGGTGTTCACACCAGCAATGATTGATCGCAGTTATACTTTATAGAAAGCACAGTTAATCAAAACTTCCTAGAATTAAATTTGAAGTCTTGCAAATTTGGTTACGCTTATGCGATTGATACTATCTACTGAAGGAAAAATTCTTTGCCGGCTAGTAAAAGCCCTTCTTCTGTGTCGTTGCTTTCCAAAAACTAAGCCGTTGTTCGATGTAACCCATGTGATTTGTTTACAAGTTTTTGCTGTCGAAGGCAGCCACGCTCGTGATAACTGTTAAAAAACGAAGCTCTTTATATGAAAAAATACTATATTAAATCGCTGGAACAATATATCAGAGTTCTTAGGTTGGTTATAATTATATAGTAGTTACCTTTTGGCGAGGCGAAAAAATTTTAATTTTATTTGATATTTTGTTCGATAAGGGCCTTAATTAATCCAGTACTTTTTAGAAAAGAGTTAACAAACCTCTACTTTATGCTTGTTTTTTGACCTTTTAACTGATAAAAATAACGAAAACTTCCAATTATTGGGAAAACAGTGTCACACTCCCAATGCCACTCCTTCACTCAGTTGGGCCACAACTGTGCTTAACACATCTTAGTGAGTAGTTCAAACAATCGATACAATCCTTGGAAATCACGAAGTTCCATGTCACTTGAACTGCTCGAAAACCATCGATGAACTACGATGCTTTTTCTTAATTTGTTTTCTATCTCAGTACATACATATTTTTAAATGCTTAGACGAATGTCCTATGTCACCCTTTTTTTTAGCAACTGCGACACAGTTGCTAAAAAAAAGTTGACATAGGAGAACGTCGAGCTTAGTCGAAAAACGACAAATGACGAGACGCATCGAAAACATCATTAGTGAAACTAGTAAAGTTTGAATGGAATAAGGAAAAGCTAGCAAATGCATGGGAGTCATTATCACTTGCTTTGAGTTTAATCCTTTCGCTCACTTTTTATGTTTTTGTAACACTAAAAGTTTTTTTTTCAAGGTTTAAGGTTCTGAAGATCTTCTTATCAGTAGGTATGACGTTATCACCCAATAAAAACATGCTTTTAGACGGTTTGCTGGTGGTATTGGATACATGTGGAAAAAGTGATGGTATAATTAGTCTTTTTCGGATGCTGACTTTTTAGTTTATAGTGTAATGAAGATTTTTATGATCAAATATGATCGGACTTTATCGGATCCTACGCCCACAAAACACCTGACACACGCTAAAAGCCATATATCCACACCTCACCTTTGAAAATTTACTATCGGTAATTAGAGATCTAGATCTTCTCTTCTCTTCTTTGACTGTTGATTATTAGCATTCTTCTATCGCATTTACTAGTAGAAGTGAACGCATTCAACATCCTCTAGGTTGCGTCAATTGGTTAGAATCGCTGTTTTCTCCTTTATTCAATATTTGAAAGAAAGAAGTACAAAACAATCACGAAGTTGCAAACAATTGCATTATGGCCGTACTTGACCACAGTTTCCAGCTGAACAACAGGTACTTTTGCCCGGATTTCTGAAGGCAATACAAGCCATAACATCTCTGTTGCATGCAGCACAATTACCCCCTAGAATTAAAAATTTGTCTTTTTGAACATCTTAATCAAAGATTTGTTCGAAAAAAAACGTCGATTTTCGACAAGACTTTTAGATAGCATAGAATTCCAAGAGATTGGATCTGAAATGAGAATATTGGACAGACATTTAGGTTTGACTTACATAAAAGGAACCAACTGGAAGCTGTACAACTGTGAGTCTTGTAGCAGGTGTCGTGAACATCGCAACATCCACCCTTATTACCACAGCTCTGTACCACTGCATCACAACCATAATAATCCTTTAGAATTTCATTAAAGTTTTCAATATCCTGTATGCGACCTGCACTATCCATTGAAGAAATCCTTGCACAATGAACGAAGCTGACCAAGATTGCGAAAATCATGACTATTAGCCGAAACAGCAACATAATTGTAATCAGTATCAAGAACAGGGTAGATCTACAATAAAAATAAAAATAAAAAGCATGCTCTTTATTCAACCGGATCATTTTTTTATGGAGGCTTTATTGCTTTGTCTAGTTTTTCGATAAGAAACTAGCCTCCACTCAAAATTGATATACTAAGCCCGCTCAACAGAATAGACTTACTTGGAATAGTCTCCTTTACACTTCACTCAATACAACGAAATGCCCGATGTTTTGCCCGCCATGATCAGAGATACGATCAAAACAGAGACGATGAGTATAAAAATGAAATTGAGGACAATCAATAAGAACAGCTGCCTCAATTTCTCAAGATAGTTTTTCTTCGATTATATGTGGGCTCGAAAATCGACAACTGCAGTACGTGTCATATTTTTCGACGTACCTCTTTCATACCAGTAGCATCAGATTTTTCGATTAAAAAAAGCTATTCTCTTTTCAGATTAATCTATCGAATTTTAATATTCATCCAGTTACAACAAGAATCGGCTTTTTTGTCTGTCAGGTTTTCCTGAGCAATCGATAATATTTAAGTGTTTTTAGAATTGATCGTTTCTAGAATTGATCGTTTCTAGAATTTTTCAGAGCCTT